CTTTTTCAGGCAGTTTTTCTAGCCATTTCTCAGGCAGTTTTTCAGGCTTTTTCAGGCAGTTTTTCCAGCCATTTCTCAGTCAGTTTTTCTATCCATTTCTCAGTGAGTTTTTTGGGCCTTTTCAGGCAGTTCTTCAGGCCATTTTTCAGGCATTTGCCAGGCAGTTTTTCAGGACTTTTCAGGCAGTTTTTCCGGCCATTTCTCAGGCAGTTTTTCTAGCCATTTCTCAGGCAGTTTTTCTAGCCATTTCTCAGTCAGTTTTTCTAGCCATTTCTCAATCAGTTTTTCTAGCCATTTCTCAGTGAGTTTTTCGGGCCTTTTCAGGCAGTTCTTCAGGCCATTTCTCAGGCAGTTTTGGGGCTTTTTCAGGCAGTTTTTCTAGCCATTTCTCAGGCAGTTTTGGGGCCTTTTCAGGCAGTTTTTCCAGCCATATCTCAGCTTTTCTGGCGTTTTCAGGCAGTTTTGGGGGACATTTTTCAGGCAGTTCTTCGGGCCTTTTCAGGCATTTCTCAGGCAGTTTTTCAGGCCTTTTCAGTCAGTTTTTCCAGCCATTTCTCAGGCAGTTTTTCTATCCATTTCTCAATCAGTTTTTCGGGCCTTTTCAGGCAGTTTTTCCAGCCATTTCTCAGGCAGTTTTTCCAGCCATTTCTCAGGCAGTTTTTCCAGCCATTTCTCAGGCAGTTTTTTGGGCCTTTTCAGGCAGTTTTTCTAGCCATTTCTCAGGCAGTTTTTCGGGCCTTTTCAGGCAGTTCTTCAGGCCATTTTTGGGCCATTTGCAGGCCATTTTTCAGCCATTTCTCAGGCAGTTTTGGGGCCTTTCCAGGCAGTTTTTCCAGCCATATCTCAGCTTTTCTGGCGTTTTCAGGCAGTTTTTCGGGCCTTTTCAGGCAGTTCTTCGGGCCTTTTCAGGCATTTCTCAGGCAGTTTTTCAGGCCTTTTCAGGCACTTTTTCTAGCCATTTCTCAGTCAGTTTTCTGGGCCTTTTCAGGCAGTTCTTTAGGCCATTTTTCGGGCATTTTAGGGGGCATTTTTGGCCCATTTGCAAGCCATTTTTCGGCCATTTCAGGCAGTTTTTCCAGCCATTTGTCAGGCAGTTTTTTGGTCCTTTTCAGGCAGTTTTTTCGGGCCATTTTTCAGGCCTTTTGCGGGATGTTTTTTTGGCCCATTTGCAGGCCATTTCTCAGGTAGTTTTTCAGGCCATCTCGGAGTTTTTTGGGCCTTTTCAGGCAGGTTTTCAGGACTTTTTAGGCAGTTTTGGGGGGCGTTTCTTGGCCCATTTTTAGGCTCTTTTGGGGCTGTTCTTGAGGCCTTCTCAGGCAGTTCTTCAGGCCATTTTCGAGCCATTTTCCGGGTTGCTTTTCACCTGATAAAAGGCTCAAAATGGGCCTCCTGCTCCAGGAGGAGCCCCTGACAGAATCATACAGTTGGAAGGGACCTTGGAGGTCATCTAGCCCAAGCCCCTGCTCTAGCAGGAGCCCCTGACAGAATCATACAGTTGGAAGGGACTTGGGAGGTCATCTAGCCCAACCCCCTCCTCAAAGCAGGAGACCGGTACAGAAAAGCATCGAAGGAAAGCGTGGGAAAGGGACCTCGGAGGTCCTCTAGACAACCGAGCATCGTGTTAAGTTTTTTTGCGGCTGCCGCCGCGCCAACAGCTAACTCCTGTTTGACAGGATCGCCTGCTAGGACTCCGAAGTCCATCTCTCGGGGATTGTTTGCGAGCCAGGCTTTTGCCCCTTCGGTACTCGTCGCTTTTGGTTTTCCCCACCTAGGTGTAAACCCTTGTTTTGTCTCCGCCTTAATTTTCGTTTTCGTTCGATAGTTGAAATCACACACACATAAATCAGCAATAAATCTACATAATTATAGTCTATGTACTGTGCTGTCTATTCCATAGCTATAAGAGGAGATACGTTATGTATTTTTCAGGATACCATATATTACATATATATTATAAATAAAATATGAATTTAATTTATTAAATTAAATTTTATTTAATTTAATTTACTAGATCTCCATTTCCTGGCCATTTTGTGGTGTCCACAGATACATCTATACATATATGTTGTGATTCCGGCACCAGCTACAAGTTTTTTAAATGAAAGTTCCAGCGAGGAGGACTCAGCAAGTGATTGCAATGATGAGGAGGAGGCGAAGGTCACATTTGATTTGCAGGACCGGCCTGAACCTTCAACCTCCTCGGCTTCTCAATCAGGCTATCAGCCGGGAACGGCTGATAACGAGGAACAGATGGAGTCTTCTGGTGAAAGTAATAATTTAGATAATCGCTGGGTAGATGTCAGAAACAGGCGTCTCCTTACGAGAAGAAACCAACGGGAGCACAGGAGGAGGGCAGATCAGTAATTAGACTAATTAGCTGCTGCTCTATAAAGGGAGAGGGATGACTCTGCACTCTTGTCGGGAACAAATTGTTCACAAAAAGAACTGAAGACTTCGGCTTGGAGGATTTCAATCTGAAGTATCTTGTTGGAACTTGGATTCATTGGAACTATTAATTTGAACTATTTTGTGGAGACTACTTTACAGCCGTTATCAGTGGAGATTCCTGATTGCTGCATTTAATTGCGAGGACTGCTGCTTCCAGCCTCATCTGTTTATTTCGGAAGGTAGGACATAACACATATATATACATGGAAAATATACAAATACACACACACACACACAAACACACATTTATTTACACACCCACACAAATACTCCCCCACTCACACCCACACCCCCCCCCCAGCTGGAATCCCTGCTCCCCTTGGGCCAGTCCAAGCCCTTGGAACCCCCCGGCCCTGACCAATCACAAGGCTGCCCTGCGGCAGTTGGAGAGAGAAGGCTGGGAAGGTGAGGCTCCACTTCCCGGTCCGTGGACAAGAGCGCACACGAGAGAGAGATCCCCCGACCCCCCCCAGGCCTCCTTCCTCCATGTTTACTCCCTGGGTGGCGACCGCCGTCCGGCGCCTAGCCCGCCGGAGCGGGACGGCTGTGGTGTCCGGTTGCCATAGCTTCGGGGCTCCTCAACAAAGATCCCTCTCCCTCCATGAATACGTCAGCATGGAGTTGCTGAAGGAGGCCGGCGTCGCGGTGCCGAAGGCTGTGGTGGCGGCCAGCCCCGCCGAGGCCTTCCGGGCCGCCGAGGAGATCGGGACGGAGGACCTGGTGGTGAAGGCCCAGGTCTTGGCCGGGGGCCGGGCGCAAGGGACCTTCGAAGGCGGGCTGAAGGGCGGCGTGCAGATGGTCTCCTCGCCGGAGGAAGCCCA